CAACATCAAAGTATATGAGAATAAAATCGGAATTAATTAACTGTTTTGCATCTAATTTTCTCATTGCGTCTTCAACTAAACGCGCTTCAGATGTTACAATAGTAATTATTTTTATTGGAGTATATGAACGACTCCATTTTGACTTTCTGGATTGAAAAATTATCGAATTTCTTAATTTATATAATGCTAAGAATACGATCGCTAAGAGTATATAAAATGCCAAACTTACTTGATAATCTTTATTATTTCAATTTATTCTCTACAAAAATAGATATGCCCCTTGCACGCCAGCAACTGCAAGAAGTTCTAAAAGGTATATTCAATGAGTGGTACACTACAAAGTTAATGCAACGTTATAATAGTGTGGAGTATGAAATAATCCCTAATCACAGAAAAATAATACTCGCGACCTATCAAGAGTTATGGGACGGAATCGTTCATTAAAGCTATCAGCAAGAATGACGGCTTGTAACGTATTTTCGGATTCCAAATTTTGTCAGAAGTGGCATAGCTAAATCGTTGAATGATTATCTACTTTGATAAAATTATTATCCGTAATTTTTATATCTAGCCAATTACGACTGTTTTCATAAATTCCGATCGAATATTTGCTAGATTTTCCAGATTTAGAAGCATGACCGGCCATAATTTCTATCGGCTAATTTTTTACCGCATTTAACAATACAAGTCGACCAATATTTCGACTTCGATACTACGTATACGTAGAATCAATTTTAGTTAACTTTCATAAATCAATTTTAAACATTCAATAAAGCATAATATTGGTTATATTTTAACTTGAGACGTAAAATTTTTAATTTATTAATAATGATATTTATTAACATTTTATTATGAACACTCGTAAAATATATTATTTTTAAACACAAACTTTATAATTTTTTATTTCACAATATTATTTATTTTTATAACTTTATTATGTTATTAATATTTTATTTGTTTATAAATACAAAAAATTACAAATTTAAATACATAATTAAAAAAAAAGAAATAGAGAGATACTTTGTTTCGGAGATTAATTCTCCTACTTTGCTTCGAAGACTAATTCTCCTACTCATCCCAACCACCGCGTAGAGGTGTATCTCATGGTTGGGTCGCCTAAAAATAAAAAAAAAAAACCTGATAAACGATAAGTTCTGAATTTAAAAAAAAAAACAAAAATAAAGATACAAAATACTCGGAACCAACGACGAGAAGACAAATCTAAATCTAAAAAACTGTAATAAAATAAAATAAAATATTGAGAACCAGTAATTTTAAACAAAAAAAAAAAACAAAAAGAAAGATACTGGTACTCGGAACCAACGGTCAAAGCGAATAAAACCTAAAGTCTAAAAAGTAACAAAAAATAAAAAAAAAAGATTAAAAATAATGTTCTTAATTAAACAAAGAACAAAAAGAAAGATACAATAACACTAGGAACCAACGGTCAAGACGAATAAAACCTAAAGTCTAAAAAGTAACAAAAAATAAAAAAAATAATTAAAAATAATGTTCTAAATTAAACAAAGAACAAAAAGAAAGATACAATAACACTAAGAACCAACGGTCAACTAAAAAAATAAAAAGAGTTTAAAAAACAAAAAATATAAAAAAAATGATAAAAGGTAATAAAAAACAAAAGGAGATAGGTAGATACCGTAGTAAGAGATAATATGAAATACAAAAAAAAAAAGTATTTATAAAGATGTATTGTTTATTAACACGTTCATAACTTCGCGATTTTGATTGTATGATCAGCCATGATCACGTTGATACGTACTAATTTGGGACCGTGTCCGGGGTTATTTTTTTGATACATTTAAGGTCTATAGTTTATAACAATATCAAGAATACGATTTATGCAATAATATGTATATTGATATGATTTTAATATTACAATATAACCAGTGTTGGGCTGACCAGACCAGTTTGACCATTTGACCAGACCAATTTGACCATTTGACCAGTCTGGTCAAAGAATTTTTACTGGTCAAATCGGTCAAATAGCATTTTGAATATAATTTATTATATAATAAATATATTATATTTATATAAATAACTTGACCAATTTGACCAGTTTGACCAATTGACCAATTTGACCAGACCAATTTGACCAGCAATTTTTTGCTTGACCACTGATTTGCCCAACACTGAATATAACTCATACAAGGGGATCCCCAAAATTTCAGGTCGGATCCATGAATTTAGGCCGCATTTAGAAATACAAGTTAACCATTTCCGGCCCAAAATTATCAGCTGGGCAGATTTACTTAATGAGTGGGCCATGACTTTATTAGTAAAACTTTTAGTGATATTGGGCAAAATTAGTTAATTACGGCCCTGACGATCACGATTCCGAGGTATTCCGACCCGGAATTTTGAAGATCCCCTGTATGATTTTACAATATACATTATATATTAGTATTCTAGTTTGATACTACTTCTTTAACAAAGATGATTCTTCTAGAATATGATTTACATCCAATGATTCTCTGTTTTACAAACATAAATTATATATATTCAGTGTTTAATTTTGTGCACCAAAGCAGTTAAAATTTTGCTGTTTAAAATTTTGCATAAAGAATTAATACCAGTAGATATATAGATTGATTAATTTTTAGAAAGATAAAATTTTTTTTCTTTACACAATAATTATAGTAATTGAACTTGTAAAAAAAAAATTTTTTTTTAGTAAAATACTGATTAAATGAAGCATTTGCAAACAGCAAATAATAAGCTAATATCTAATAAGAAACTTGTTTTTTAATCTGCACAAATTATACGTACGTATAAACTAATTATTTCCAAATACATGAATACTTGCGCCAAAATTTATTAACAAATAATAATATACGTATTATACTTATATATATATATTTATATATCCGATATATTAAAATAACTTTTTTAGATTATCCAAATTGTTTAAATTATTAGTTTCTAAGAATGTTAATCGATTAATTTTTCAACCTTACTAAATTTCGGTATGTCACTTTCGCAATATTTTCCTTTTAAAGATAAAAAAATTATCCTCCATGATTTATGCAAAATACTCTATTAACTGTTTTCTTGTTACTTCAATTATTTCAAATATTATTGATACAATAAAAAAGGTAATTAAAAAAAGCTTAATCGCACCAAAAAATAAACACTTTAATACTTTTAGTACTTATAACAAAAGGTCAAGTAAAGGATAGGATAAAGTACCCAAGGTGAAGGTAAATAAGGTGAATAAGGTGTTAAACATGTTATAACTATATTCAATAAAATTTAATAAACATTATAAATATATTTTAAAAAAATATGTATTAAACAAAGATGAGCATAATGACAATGTAATGACCTTTAAAACCATAATAACAAGTTTTAAAAGTTTTCACCAGATAATGTCTTCAAATATATATGAATAAATGACCATAATGATATACGGTAATCGTGATATCAAAGTTGGAGATGAAGATAAATGAATTGCAGCTATCGAATTTTCATGAAATGAACCATTCTTTAATATTATATAATAAATGTCAACAGTGAATAATGAGAAATAATTAGTCAAATAATAAGAGGTAATTTTTTTAACAAATTTTACAAATTACATGTTCAACAACAAAATCAGGTTCAACGTAGTATTAATAATGTCCGGTGTTATTGATATACTATCAGTAGCTTCAACATTTATTCTTCGTCTTCTTAACTCTGATTCATTTATTTCATTATCATCAGTAGATTCTAATGTTTCTTACATTGAAATTGGATACGTTAAAATCGAAAGAGGAGGAAAAAAAAAGGTTGAACCCAAAATAGAATGCACCTTACCAGGGTTTGTTGTAACTGTACTAGTATTTGATAGAATTCGTAAAAGTTTCTCAGGTTCTAAATGTGAACAACTTTCATGTGAAGAATTTGAAGTTCTTATATCATTATCTAATATGGGAGTAACTTTGAATGGATCCTAACTTATTATGAAATATAAAATTACAATTAATTAATAGGTTTAAAAAAATATATATATATCATTTTTTTTGAATTATTTTATAATAAGATAGTTACGATCGTTACTTCATCGTAAACGTTCATGGTCTCCATACTAATAAAAGTGGAACGCAAGTAACCAACAGATTTTAAAATCTCATCACATGATGGCCTACTTTTAGCATTGCGAGACAATCAGCATGTAATTAAATTTCTAGGTTGACTAGAAATCCTACGATTACTAGTCATACCATTATCTGGAAATGATATGCTTAAATGATTTAAATGAAGTATAGTCAATAAAAGTGCACAATGTATCACATAAGGTTATAAGGTTATAATGGTAAAATCTCGAAATAGTGGGTATGGGTGTTATTTCGAATTTTGGCCCGAATTAAGCTTAATGCTGGCCAAAATTCGAAATAATGCCCATGCCCTATTT